ACCGCGCCGCGGCCACGTGGGGGCCGGCCGGAAGCGCCCCCGGCGCCGCTCCACGTGGGAGGGGCCAGGCCCGCGGCTCCGCAAGGATCCGATGGCCCCTGAAAGCCAGGGGTACCCCCCCAAACGATATCCCCGGATACGGTGCAAGCGGCGCCCCCGCAGTGCAGCGAAGGGCCTTCGGCCCCAATTCGTCGACTCAGAGCCCCTTCCCCGCGACGAACGCATAACACACCGACCCTAAGCCGCCCCCCGCCCCCTGCGGCGCTCCAGGCGCTCACCTCCATGATGCAGTTCGCGGCCTCAGCTGCCGCCATCTTCACCAGCACCTACTCCTCCTCCGGCCGCTGAGACCCCCCCTTTCTCCTCACGCCCCCGGGACCGCCTTATACCGGAGGGCCTACGGCCCGCCCACCGGGACCCCGCCAGGAGATCTCATTGGTGCTGGAGGCGGCCCATCTGAAAATACCGCCTAGTGATTGGGTGAAGAAGAAGCCCATCAAAGATCAGGGGCCTGCCTAGCCTGGCGTTCAGAGCCCCGCCTCCCCAAGTGGACCGGGATGGGGAAACCCACCGGTCTATCTCGAAGACGGCGTCAGATGATTGGATAAAGTCAACCTGGAGCGCCCGCCCTTTTACCCCCCCAGCACCACCCCAAAGCTTCCCGGCAGGCTCCGCGCTACATGTACGTCTTGAAACAGAGCTGTCTATCGGCAGAGCGACCCGCCTCTTAATCGCTCCTATTGGCTTACCAAAAGATGACGTTCAAGGCCTTTGGCCCGCCCTCCCCAGACCGTGGCTTCAAGATGAACATGGCAATTGGCCTACGAGGAGAGAAAGGGTGGCCTGCAGGCACTGTGATTGGGTCAAATGAACTGTCATTCACCGCCCACTCTATGGATTCTCCCAGGCCGAGGGGAATCCAGCAGGAACAAGGGCGCTTGTGCTCATTTACCAAGGGGGAGAAACCTAAGTAATGAGAGGCCGAGAGAGACGGAGGGCTTGTGTAGGTCCAGAAACAAGTCAGAGGTAGGAATGAGACATCAACGCGTTAAGCCCTGTAATGAAAGGCTTGACGTTTGTGAAACCGTTGCCCCCTCTCGCGCCGTTTGGCCCTTGCCGGCCCCTCCCCCGGCGGGAACACCCACCCCCCTTTGTCTGGGGAACTCCTACTCCACGCCTGGGGCCCCTTAGAAGACACCTCCTCTGGGAGGGTTTCATCGCTCTGCGGAAGTCACTGGTGGCCTGGGGGCCAGACCAGAGGGCTGAGTTCCTGAACCTGCCCTCCTGTCCGCACCGTCCTCACGCCACGCTTCGCTCCCGTCCTCGGACGCGCCGTCTCCATTGCTCCGAGCCGCGGCCCCGGCTGTGCCTCCTGGCCCGCTGCTCACCGGCAGACTAACAGGGGGAGATTTCCGCGTTTCCTTTTCTGTGAGGTCCTGACGCCCCTCTGCACTGTCACTTCCTTCACAGCGGCGCTTCTTCCTGGGGCCCCAAATCAGAACAGCCCCGCCTCCCACCCCGGCCCCGGGACTGGAGGGCGCCTCCCTCCGGCTGCTTGTCAGTCCCCAGCCCCGCCCGCTCCGCTGCTCCCGCCGGGCCGGGGCTCCCCAGCACCCTCGGGACAAAGTCTCAGCACCCCAGCTTGGCCGTGTCCTCCCCACCAAGTTTGGCCTCAAACGCTAACCAGTCCCTGCTGGGCTCTGGATCCTGTCCTGGTTGTCTGAGACCACGACACACTCACGCTTCTGTGCCATTACACAGGCCCTTCCCCTCCTCTTTAGAAGAGTCACTCTTCTTGAGATGAGCTCCATGGGTGAGTGTGGTGGCCCGTGCAGATAATCAAGGTTGTCTGGGAGGCCGAGACAGGAGGATCTCGAGTTCGAGCCTAGCCTGGGCAATTTAGCCACCTAGCGAGACGTTATCTCAAAATACAAAATGAAAAGGACTGGGGATATAACCCAGTGCACAGGCTCAGGCTCAGTCCTCAGTACTGAAGATAGAAACCATGTTCCTTCACCTGTTGCCAATTGCCGGGTGTGGTGGCTCACGCCTGTAATCCCAGCACTCGGGAGGCTGAGGCAGGAGGCTCACTGCGAGTTCGAGTCCCGCCTGGGCTACAAAGTGAGGTCAAGACCAGCCTGAACTGCATAATGAGACCTTGTCTCAAAAAGAAAAAAAGAAAAAAAGTCAATAAACAGACACATTCAGCTGCCTCAGCACGCTACCAAAGTAGTATTACTTCCATTTTAGAGATGAACAAGCTTAAGACAGAGAGGGGCGAAGTGACTTACTCAGTTACACAATATATTTATGGTACTGGGGATTGAACTCAGAGCCTTGTGCATGCTAGGTAAGTGCTCTGTCACTAAGCCACATCCCCAGCCCCATTACACACTTAAAACGTGGCTGAGCTCATTTCCCCCCTGGGGAGGGAACCCAGGGCCTTTACCCTGAACTACAGCCCCAGCTTTCTTATTTTGAAACAGGGTCTCTCGATAGGTGGCCGAGTTGCCCAAGCTGGGCTGAAACTTGCAATCCTCCTTTCTCGTTAAACTAACTATTGAAGGTATAATTAACATACAAAATACGCAGTTCAGTTTGATGAGATGAAATACAGCTGTGTAACCGCTGTCCTACTTACAGAATCTACCCATCGCCCCAAAATTCCTTTATGATGCCCCTCACTGAGCCTCAGAAGCATCACTTTGCTTTCTGCTACTATATTTTAGCTCCCTCTTGTCTAAAAAAAATTTTTTTTCCAATGCTGGGTATTGAACCAGGGACAGTTTACCAGAGCTAGATCTCCAGCCCTTTTTATTTTGAGACGTAGGTCACTTTTTATCCTTCTGCCTCAGCCTCTGGAGTATCTGGAATTACACACCAAGTCTAAATTTTCATATGAATGGATCACATGGTATGCGCTCAAACACTGGTGTTTCCTTTGTAGAGTACATTGTATTTTTTTATTATTATTTGAGACAAGCTCTTGCTATGTAGCACAGGCTGGCCTTCAGCTCTTGACACTCCTGCCTCAGTGTCTCAAATGCTACGATTACAGGTGTACGCCACGGTGTCTCTTTTCTCAGTTTGTTATTATTTTCATACAGGGTCTGGCTATGTAGTTGAGGCTAGCCTTGAATTCTCTATGTAGCCCAGCCTGGTCTCAAAATTGTGGTGATCCTTCTGCCTCAGCCTCCTGAATGTGAGGATTGTTACCATACCTGGTTTTTCCTCAATGTATAAGCCAGAGAGATCTCAGAATCAACCTATTTTACTTTTTCCTTTCTGAGACCGGGTCTCAAAATGATCTTGGACTCATTATGTAGCCCAGACTGGCCTTGAACTCCATTGATCCTCCTACCTCAGCCTCCCGAACTTAGAATTTTTTTGTTTGTTTTCTTCCAGTGCTGGGAATCGAACTCACGACCTTGTGCTTGCTAGGCAGGCGCTTTGCCGCTGAGCTAATTCCCAGCCCCGTTTGTTTTTTGTTTTAGAATTTTACAGCTAGTGGTAGAGCATTTGCCTAGTGAGGCCCTGGGTTCCATCCCTTGCACTGCAAGAGGAAAAGGAACTTCAGTTCTCCAGAATACATACTCTTTTTTTCTTTTACATACTCTTTTTTAAAAAGCCTTTAATATGTAAAGTTCAAGACAAATTCCTTTTGGCAATCAGGTAGGGCAGCCACCGCCCCACAGCCCTGAGTAGAGGAAGAAAAATTGGAAAGGCAAAGGAAGAGTGTGGGGCTTGAGGTCCAGGCTTGTAGCAGCTTCTGATGACCGGCTCAGTCCAAGGGTAAATTCAGGTCCACCGGGGACGCGGCCAGGATGCCCTCCTGGAAAGGACGGCGGCACAGCTGAAGGGAGGGAGGCGACCACCACGCATGCGCAGACGCAGCGGCCCGGGCGGGAACGGGGGAGTGTCGGGAGGAGACTGAGCCCCAGAAAGAGCGGTGCGGCATCCTGGGACTTGAATAATTAAGAGCCGAGGCTCAGGGGTAGTCGCAGGCCCTGCCTGAGGGACTTTCCCTTTCGGCCCTGGCAGGGCAAGGACGGGGACAGAACGGCTTAGTGGGGTTACGCTGTTGAGGGCATCTTGTCTCTCCCGAGCTTGCCTGTTACTGTGTGTGTGTGTACTGTGTGTGTGTGTGTGTGTGTGTGTGTGTGTGTGTGTGTG